TTGGTTTAATTCCTATTTTTCCATTTCATTTTTGTCTCGTGAATTCAGTGCAGTCGTTTGTTTCTGTGCCTCAGAAAAAACATTTTCAGTTTTCAAGCTTGGGGTCGATGTGTCACCCTGAGTGAAATGAAATTCATGGTGAACTTTGGCTTGTGTGGGAAAGATGTGCACAAATGATAATAATCAGAAAGGTAATTACAAGGGTATTTGCCTGGATTTATTTTTGCACTCAAGTTTTGCATTCACTCGGCCTTATAAATGCATCTCAAGGTCCTCCGAGATATGTTTTCACAGACGTAAAAAATTTTCCGCATTACGTTTTAATTTGCCGTATAATAGAAGCTGCGATTGTGAATGCTCATAGTTGTTTGCACATTGCTCAAAATGAAATACTTTTGACATTGCTGTTATAATTATGTCTTTACAACATCCGGAAAATGTTACGTTTTTAAATCGCACCGTAATTACGGTTTTACACATTGCGGCCTTAACTACCGCGGGTTATTATGGAGCCCACAAAAGTCATTCATGGAATCATTATTGCGCCTTCTGAGATAACAGCACAAAAGAACTCCACATGGAAAATTACATTTGAGACCTCTCATCTGCTATTTCATTACCTTGCTCTGTCTGATGGCTGAAATGGGTTCTCTTAATTTAAGGAGCTGGATTCCACCTCGGTGAGTGGTTTATGTAATCTCACTGTAAGTATAATTTCCCATAATGCCGTGTCAGACCTACTACTCTGCTTAGCTACCGCTGTCACTTATTGCAATGCTGGCCATCTCTCTCCCCGAGATCTGACGAGCAAGATCATTTCTATGGTGTACGCTCTGAAAGGAGGAAACTATGCAATTATCTGTAAGCCACAAGTGTTTCTATGGGTGACATTCATACTTTCCCGTGAAAAACGCAATTAGGCCCCGGCCCAGATTCTACACTACTAGGAGACCCCCTTCATTGATGACTTTTAGCAGAAGCATCCAATTTAGGGATGCAAAGAAGCTCATCTATTGAGGGTGGATATTGTATTCAAAACTATTTATTTGAGCTGAGAACCAAGTCAACAAATCAAAAATAGGATGCAGAATATTTGAGAGATTTACCCATCAGTTCTAGTTACGGTAGTTGTATTAAAGCATCTGTGTAGGAGTGTTGAATGGACTAATCAACAAATCTCAGTTTGGCTCTAGATTCATGAATTCTAGATTTTTTTTATCTTGTTAACAGTCTTGCCTTGGCAGAGGTCAGTGCCAAGATAGTACCTTATCGGTCCTGTTGCTGCTGTTAAATCAGAAAATGTATGCACCCGCCATCAGGTGTCTGCACCTGAATAACCCCACTTACTATTCCTTTGTCACTGTTACTACACACAATTGCCCCTCACTGCATTTCACATTAAACGGGTAGAAAAATGTGACATTTCATGCACAGCATAGAATAAGTAAAACAAGGAGATGCAAAAAAAAAAAACCCAACAACAGCACCACCCATACAGTACATGTAAAATATAGCAGATCAATTGTCAATTTGTATATTCATAGTAATATTAATTTTCTCCCTCAATGCTGTAACATCTAACTTAATACAACACTATGTGTAATGTTAATATTAGAGGATGAACTAATTCATAATATTGTGATCGGATACTGTATCCATCTTATGGTACAGTATTTTTCTCTGTCTATCCAAAGACAGAGAAAAAGACAGTGGTTAACTAGCTAATTGCTTTAAAGTGTACTCTTTCAATGTCAGTGATTTTTTTTTAAATCTGTCTTTATCAAGTTTGAAAAAATTAACTGCATTAAATAGACTGCAGTCCTCTATTAGGAGTAGAGAAAAGCACACAAATCTGGAGTCTGCATCTCCAATACATCCCGATCTGCATTAAAAGGTAATGGGTTCACATTTGGCCTGTGCCCATCACTTTTCTGCAAATTTTCATGGGAATATTTTAAGTAGTCTTTGCTTATCCGATTGCTTGCCAAAATAGGAAGGGGAAAAATTACAAACAATGGCACTTTGTTTTAAAATGTTAAATTAAAAATGGACGTTATTAAGCAATATTGAACATTCACTAAGGCACTTGACTTTGTTTATGATTGTTATCAACTGTCATTAAAAAAAAAAACAAAAAAAAAACACCATTTGAAGCACTGAGAAGCCTCATGGTGTGAGTAAGAAATTTACAATACTTCATCTCATTATGCTCCAAAATGACACTGCAATGTCACTTGCAAAATACGCTCATAATTAACACTAAGCTGTTCTGCAAAGTCACATTTTAGCCTAGCTTTTGGAAAAATCTATACAGTATTTGACATTTCTGAAAGGATTGGCTTGAAATCCTGAAATCTTGAACAGAAAGCCACATAGAAAGAGGGATGAAAGAAGTCTAGGTAGATTTAACTTGGTGTGATTGCCCGAGACATCATCATTAAGAGTGTCTCAAGGATGACAAAGAAGACCTGGTTCCTCGTTGTCCAAATCAATAGATGCTTTTACCCAGCCATCTCAGGCAAGCAATGTTATACCGTTGCTGTGCTTTGCTGCTCTATAGAAACTGCACAGAGACAGAATGGACTAGCATAGAATGTTGCAATATATAAACGTGCAATCAGTGTAGGCAAGCAAGGCAGAATGACAATGTGTTTACGCCGTTAAGTGGTGCCGAGAAACTAATGTACAGAGTTTGTTTCCTTTAGCCTGGTAGAAACATCCGAGCTTTTCTCTCCCTTTTGGGCAGGAAATGTACCGCAACTCTTTTTAAAATACCACCTTTCCAATTAAAAAAAAAGACAGAACTAATGTGGACTTTTTCTTTTACATTCAGATATTAATTTGTTTTGCATCAGGCTACAGTAAGAGGAACACATCCAGAAAAGCTTTAAAAGCTTCTGAATTTATCGAGGTTTAAATTTGGGCCCACCAACCCATAGCACCCTCCGATCAGTTGTGAGGTAGTTTAGGAGTGTCAGCAGTTTACACACAATAACGGAATTCAGTAGTAAATGTGCTCTCTGCTCACTGGGAGTGCCCCCCTTCATGAACTGACATGCTGAAAGAAACATATTACTATCCCCACTTATGGACAGCTTTTGCTACATGAATACACTAACTCTTCACAATTAGTTTCATGCAATGTCATATAAATATTCATAGTTCATAATATTTTCATTTTGAGGTTGACTGTAGAATTCACAAGTGTAGTGACTATAGTGGACCTTCTCAAGTTTAGCAACTTAAACCTAATAAAAGTTGGAATTTGACTGCAAGTTTTGGTGAAGGTAGGGCATAAATGGCCTTTTTGGACATCAAACAAAATGTGTGACATCAGCTCTCGGCTCACTTTGCGAGACCACATTTCAGCCAGAATCGTCACCATTTTTGAAACAAGCATGTTAGTAAGACATAAACAAAACTAAATGAGAAGAATAACCACAATTAAGTTACCAAAAGTAAGCAGACTTATATTCTTAGCAGAAAAGAAAAGTAACCTCTAGTGCTAGCTGCTACGGTCGCTATTCACTGACTGGCTGGCTTACATATGGTTGTCGCTTCTTTTCAAAAGTCAGTGTTTTATGCTTTTGTTACTTTTTAAAGCTTTACATTCCATTTGTGGTTGATATAGTTTTATACTTGTGTGTCTGCTAAATGAAGGGTAGATTTGCCAGCTCATTTTACACAACAAAACAACAATGCACCTAATTCGCCATCCGTAGCCATGATGCTACTGTTTGATATTAGTGAGTTGATGAGCAATCCACAAAGTGGACAGTAAAAATAGCTCTCTCTTCCTTAAGTTTTACAGCATGATGGGAATCTCCCATAATATTTGGTTTTATATTCCTGTGCATGTGACATGACATCAAGGTAATAAGTATATGGCCTTGAATTGTCATCTCACTGGTATCTGTATTGTATGTTTTGATGAGCTGGGGACATAATTCAATGTAGCATACAATACATGACCGCGTCTAGAATGTCTGAATGTGCCTGCATTATGAAAGCCTACATTGTGGGCTGTGTGGTTGTCTTGCATTGGCTGAACAGTGATTAGGTGCAGGTGTTGATTGCAGTACGGCGGTTGGAAGAAGAAAATGATGATAAGCTGCTTTTGTTTTTGTCAGTGTGTTTGTGAGAGCACAAGAGAGTCTCAATCCAGGCATCAGCTGATCTCCTATCCCATAATGCAGTGTTTTACCTTTTCTCACGGCATGTCCACTAATTTATTAAGTAGTCATTTAAGCCCATGGATGCCTGCTCTTCAGAGTGATATTTTTCTAGTTTTTTGCCTTGACTTGGAAGCTAAAATTTGACATAAGAACCTGATATGCAGCCTGTTATACCGGAGACAAATTCCTTGTGTGTTCTACATACTTGGCCAATAAAGATGATTCTGATTCTGATTCTGATACGGTGGCAGCGAACTCAACTCAACTAGTTTCACAGCGAGCAGCAGTTTGATCATGAATAATTGTGCAAAAAGAAGTTTGTAGCTGTTTATTGGGTCTCCCAATTGAAGTTTACACAATCACATAACTGCCTTATCTAAATGCTAATACACAATGTGAAGCACTATTGACGACCTAACGAGTAGCATTGGCATCACAGTGTTATAACCCTTTAAGCAATGGACATTTGAACATCACAGAACAGTAGCAACACATGTAGACAGACAACTTACAGCAGCAATACTCATCGGCATATAGTCTTTTTTTCTACGAATAACGACCAATGTCACTTCATCTTACTGAGTCACTTATTCACTAAGAAACTCTTCTTCAATTGAGCCTGTATGTCTGTATTGTATTGGTGTCTGGTACACACAACAAACGGAGCACAATGCGGGCTGCAATGGAATAATTATTCAATTTCAATCCCAGTTTCAATGGGGGAAAGATGATTTGCGATACAAGTGTTTTCCGTTATGAGAGTGGTCATGGAGCAAACTGAACTTGTTAGATAAAGCACCGCTTTATGCTTTCTATTTTTTTCAGGTCTCACCCTAGTTTGGTCCAGGCTTTAGCTTGGAGAGCCCAACCGCCAACATTGATCCCAGCAGCTGGAGCGGTAGCGAAAGCCCTGCCGAAGACATGGAGAGAATGAGCGATTCGGCAGACAAGCCTGTGGACAACGACGCAGAAGGCGTGTGGAGTCCTGACATCGAACAGAGCTTCCAAGAGGCCTTGGCTATTTACCCTCCTTGTGGACGTCGAAAGATCATCCTGTCAGATGAGGGGAAGATGTATGGTGAGTACAAATCTGCCATGTACAATTTTCTTTGCGTGTCTGCTGAACTACAAGGAACCAAACAAAAAACGTACTTTATTTCATTAAAGGGCAAGTCAAGTAAAACATTTTTTATCACAATAATATTTTCTATGCGCGTCCACTATTCCAGTGGTTCTTTACCTTAGAGGTACCGAACCCAACCAGTTAATATGCGCATTCACCGAACTCTTAGTGAAAAATACATATATACAGTATATTGTTTACAAATTCAAGACATAAAAAAATGCATTTATTAAAAACAGAAAAAAGTAGATAAAATTTCAAGAGATAAGTATACTTTTTTTAAAAATAATTTCCCGCAGCACTGATTGGACAAGCAATGTAATGTGATCATCTGCAGCCAGTGATGGCCAAGCGGGTGTGTCATAACTAATTGACATGTTGAGTCGGGTGTGTCTTACCCTCCATGGCAGAGGCTTCGTCAAACCCCTGAGACCGATTCACCGAACCACTGGGGTTCGATCGAACCCAGGTTAAGAACCACTGCACTATTCTAAACAAAGTATTCTTCCTAATATTGTGTTTGTGGAATTTGAATTAAGCAGCAAAATCCACCCGTTTTTATCCATCTCAGGGGGTGGCCATTTTGCCATCACAGTGCCCAAGGGCCCATGTAACGACTGTCACGGTTCACCTGTTTTCTGGGTTTGGTCATGTGACGTTCGCAAGCTCAGCCCGGTGAGACCGGGAGTCCACTGTCGTCGGCTGATGTGAGGATTTAAAGGCCATTCAAGCTTTATTTCCAAGATTGCCGACTGGTCTATCAATCTCATCAAAACATGTATACTTTAGTCTTCTCTCAAGCTTTGACAATCACTTCTCTTGTCTGTGTAAAAGCTGAACTGATGACAACAGTCCCCACTTAGACATGCACAGCAGCAAGAAGCTACTTTTTCCTTCCAGTTTGTGTATCAGACAATAAATATAAAATGGCACCACAGTATTTCATCATGTTTCTCTTCCCTTTTTCATCAGCAATGAAAAAGACCAAAACCATAACAATGAAAATCATGGAATTCATAGTGGACCTTTTCCTTTGGGCGTCCTTGAGGCAACAAAATATTATTACTATTATTAGCATTTTTATTAAGATTTGAGAGCATTATAAAAACTGAATTGAGCAAGTAAACCACAATCACTGCACTTAATACATGATGGTCAATCTCAAACTAACAATGTGGCGACCGTGCAGATGCTTAAGTGCAAGTTTGTCAGTAAAACAGCATGAACTATTAGTCGGTGGCAGATGGTACTGTGGCTGCCACCAGCTGTGCCCCCTCTCCCACTGCCCTCCTCTACCCCATCTCTGGCTTGGTGATGTCATGGAAAGAAGGAATATTTTCTTTCTGAGGATTTCAAGTTGAACAGCTTGTCAATGTCAAGTGGTGGTCGAAAACCCCACAGCGCATTCATTTGCAGCTGTCATGTGACCCCTCTGGCCAAACGAAATGTAAATTGTAGGAATTGCAATGAAACCCCGTCAGCTGCCACTGGCCTCAGATGGGACCTCCCCTACTATCTCCTCTTCCACATGCAAACTGAAGCTTTTTGAGTGCTCTGGGTTAAAGCATGACCATTTTATTTTGTGTGTTTTTGAGCTCCCCTTCAATGTTTTTCATACTGAATGTGGTGTGTATGTGGTAATCCCGCAAGGGAAAATTCTCTTTGCGCTTTGTTGTCGAAACAACACACACAAAGACAGTACACAATGGATTCTGCAAGGGAGAAGGCAAGAGAGATGTCAGAGTGATTTTGCCGTGATACAGTGCCTTGCTCAAGGGCAGAGCTTCCCGAACCATTTCAGGTCAAGCCCCAAATTAGAAACGTTCCATAAAAGATGTGACAAACAATGTATTTCTTTTTCAAGAAAATGTATGGCTGCTTGAAAACCATTGAAATAATCATTAACTTAATAATGGCCCAACCTCATTTGTGAAAAGCTTGCCAGGAAGCAGCATCTGATATTTTGTTCCTCAGCAAGTTTCCATTTTTTTCCCCCTCCGGTCACCTGTTATATAAAGCCAAGTCCTTAAGGAGAGAGCAACTATCGCCTCAAGCACAAAGCTTAATAAACAGGCCCAAAATAATGATGTTACTACACACAACTGAACAACAGTTCAAACGCAAAAGCCGACATTTTTTCTCAAATTAATTTTTTTATTTTTGGTTTCCCAGTTGAAGCCAATCATTGTTATTTCAGGTATTCTACATTAATATAAATTAAGCATATCAGAGGTTAATTTGAAAAAAAATGATGTCATTTCAATGCAAAATCTGACAATGCCAAGAAAATAATTTTCTTCAAAAATGGACAAGTCCAAATTTTTCACCTAGCTACAAAATCTCACTGAAATTGGTTTGCGAATAGAAATTAACAGCTAGAACTACAATCTCTTGAACCACCCCTTAAAATAAACATACAGTAAATTCACCTTGAATCTTAAGCCTTCAACGGACAAAGAGACAAAGTGACAAAGTGACATTGATTGCACAGTGTCAGTTGACGGCTTCTTTGTTAAATTTGCAAGCCTGATCACCAACAACATTCTCACCAGTGAGTTTCATGCATCTCTCTTGAACCGTTGAACAATAAACCACAGGCGACACAATTGAACGTTACCATATTTTAAGCTCGCTCTCAAGCACAACCGAACCTTTATTAGCTATGAGTTAGCAATAAATCACAGGCACAGACATGTTTGAGGGAAGTACTGTATGTGAGGAATGACGACTATGTGATGATGTAATTTGAGGATGAGCAAATTCATCGGAATTTAATTTTGATTTTGATTTTGGGTTCTCACAATCATGCAAACATTAAAATTGAAGGAAAAGGTAATCCTTTTCCTTCAATTTTAATGTTTGCATGCCGGACAGTGTCATGTGTGATTGTGAAGTTCCTCCTTGTGAAAGCAACCCAAGTGTGTGACAAATGTTCTTCTGCCTCTCTTGACTGTGCTTTAAGATGTTAAATAACACTGGAATACTAAACACACAACAAAAAGAATTATACATGGTACATATTTAAATACAACATATATTTTGTTTTAGAAAACTCACCAGTGCTCATGCTAGCAGCGAATGGAAACTCCTATTGAATGGCTAATAGAAAATTAGCATCGTATTCCAGGAGTGATAGTCCGTCAAACAACAAATATTCACACTCAAGCGCTGTGCTAACACATACGGACAAGTATTATAAATATAGTCACATGCATAAATTCTTCCTAATCTGTGAAAAAAAATTATATTAGTTAAGTTCAATCACAACAGTCTTTTTCTACTTTTTTGGTTTTAAACGAGATATGCTATGGCTGCAGTAAAATGTGTCCCACTGACTTTGTATTTATTCATTGATTTATTGTTGTTTTTTTTTTATTTTTTATTTTTTTATGTTTACCTTCATCATTTGTCCGAATCAGTGGACAAAACTGCATGGTGGTCTTGACCTAGTAGCCTCAATAGAATCACCATAAAGACAGAAAGTGAACATAGTGAGTGTGTCTTGTGTCTCATTCGCCCTCCTCCCTTGACAATGCTGACTGCGTCTGCGACCTGGAAATTGATCTCGGGTCGCCATATAATCGACAATCTCAATTGTCTTAAATGCGCCCAGAGGAGGGAGATTTGAAGAGGCTTCGTAAAGGAGCTAATTGAAGAAATGTACATTCCACCTCAGTCTGACGCCACAATTGTGGTGCTGACTCATTTTTGGTTTATTCGTGTTTGAAATGAAAAAGATTTTTTTAACTGACTGCACTCCAAGGTTTTTATGTATATGGTATGCACTACCGGTCAACATTTTCTCATGCTATTGAATGTGAAACGGTTTCTCAATTCTGAACAGGTACAGTGTGTGTATAGTTAAAATTCCACATTTTCAGTATTTACATCATGTAGGATTAAAGGCGTCATTCCACATGCCCAAACGATCTATTTTCTGAATGACCTGAAACAACTTCATTCATCATTAGCTTTTCCTCAGTGCAATAGTTTTTCCTCAGTTTGCACTGACTCGCACCAGGCTGTCATGGCGCCTATAGTGCTGTAAAAACACCATCAAGAGTGCCACGGGAACCAACCAAATTTGACTTAATTTGTCCAGAAACTATTAGTTATTATTTCCAGATATTTCTTTGTTCATCTATGCATGTCATTGACTTATCGTGATGTATTGTTGCAGTCCTAACAATTAAAAGTTTTTCCATTAGAGTGGCAGAACAAGTAATGGCTTACAACAGAACAAGTAATGGATTATGAGTATATCAGCTTTGTGTTCAATTAAACAGGACCAAATTTCACACAAATCTGTCATTAACTTCAGATCAGGTCATCATTATTTCAGTATTCCTCCTTTTTAATACATTTTTCTTTGGTCTTGTGCATTGAGATTTTTTTTTTTAAATGTTAAACGGGTGCCTTGGCTGAGTAAAGGTTTCCAAATGATGGTTTAGAACGCTGTCAGAATTTATTTATCAGTGAAATGTTTGTTGCACTAAAGAGTTTTTGATAAGTTTTGTCGACAGGTTTTTTTTTTTTTTTTTTTTTTTTTGCTTTTTCTCTCTGGACCAAAGGGTTTGCGAAGCGTGATGTGATGGTCCTTTAATCTAGGTTTACCGTGCTTACAGAGAGGCACAACCTCTCATGGCATGTGAGATGAAAGTTGGCTATGTGGCGACTGGTATTTTGTATTTGAGATTCTAGGGATGGTGATGTGTTCGAAATGCAGAGCTCATCTCAAGAGAAGTCATCCTGAGTGCCATTAAGCCCTTCGTCATCCAGGGGTAGAGTGCAGTTAATTAGCAACAGTCTCTATAGCAACTGTGTTGCGGTACACACAATTTGTAATTTCTGCTTCTTAGCTTATTATTGTAGTGTTTACCTGAAGTGAGCCGCATATTCTGAGACTGGTGTTGACCGGCAATGTTCACATTCTCTTAGAATGACATCTGCATAGA